TATGTGTTCCTAGGTTGCAGTAGCTCAGGCAAGAATTGCTGCAGGCGTGTCAAGATAAGTGCTGAAATGGCTAACTAATCCATAACATGCTTCAGAATTGAGTGAGTGACCAACTAGAAAACATATTGACTGCAAATTTGCTGTCATATGGATTAACTCTAGCAGGCATGGCAAAAAGCTGAACAGTGACATGAAATCCATATTCTTTAACTTCTCTGGCTAACCATTAGGCATTTGTCATAAGAGTCCCGTGTTCTGTTTTAAACACATCAATGAAATCTTGTCACTCAAGCTTAGTAAATTGCAGTCAGTTGAATTTGTCTGTGGAGAGTTATTAGCTTATTTTGCTTTCCCTTTCTTTCAGAACTGTCATGCATGTCCCACTCATTCCATTTCTCAACAACAGCCTTCTTTTTTGCTTTTGTTTGGTTTCAAAACATCCTAACCACCATAGCAACTGCATAGCAACAATTCAGAATACCTTAGCAACTGCCTCACAACACCCTGACAACGAGCCATAGCTCTTTAGCATCACTGCACAGACCAGCACCACTCATGTTTTCCTTATAAATTCTATAAATCCAGTACTGATATGCAATCTGCTAATAGTAATTGTGCAGTCAGTCAGAATAATTAAGTTAATGTTTAGATAAAGGCTCGTTTTCACTCGCTATCTTTCAGTTTCCCCTGAGCTGCAAAGATTTGTTCTTTTTCATACCTCTTTCTCCATCTTTCTCAGTCTTTCTCTCTCCGTCATTACACTGCCATTGTAAAAAGCCTTTGACAGCCTGTCAGTGAATTATTTGACTGGAGGGGCAGACAGTATAGCTCAGCTGTCACTTCCTGTAGGGATGTTTCCCATCAGCCAAGAATCCCCTCCTATTATTTCATTCCCCAAGTCCCAGCGCTCCCACTGCACTCAGAAATGAAGTACCGGCCCTCACCTCACCTTCCTCTCACCCTTTTCTATTACAAAATGTACTGGAGCCATAGCATGGTGTATCCGAATTTTAGGTAACACTTTAGGGAACACATATTCACTATTAACTAAGAGTTTTCCCTCAGTAAACTCCTAATTCACTGCTTATTGGTCTTAAGTAAAGTAGTTGTTGTAGTAGTTATGTTTAGATATTAGTTAGGTTTAAGGGATCAAGAATCTAGTACTGCAGAGTAAGGCATTAATATGTGCTTTAGTATTAATTAGTATTAGTATTAACAGCTAATATGCTAATAATATGCATGCATTAAGCAAATAGTTAATAGTGTATAGTTTTCCCTAATCTAAAGTGTTACTGTATTTTGATATGTACCATGGTACTAAAATGTATTTACCATGGTGTTTACGTGGTCTCTTCTCACCTTTTTCACCATCAAAAAAGTATCAAAATGTACCATGGTCCTACCATATTTCAGAGAAACACTACCGCTCAAAAGTTTGAGGTTGGTGGGGTTTTTTTTTCATGTTCATGAAAAAAGTCTCTCATGCGCACCAAGGCTACAATTATTTGATCAAAAATACTGTAAAAACAATAATATTGTTTTTGTTGTAATATTATTAAAATGTAATATTTTTGTGGAAACAATAATAAATGTGTTTCTGCATTCTGCGATGAATAGACAGTTCAAAAGAACAGCATTAATTTGAATTATACTTTTTTGTACCATTATAAATGTCTTTACTGTCATTTATGATTAGTTTAATGCATCCTTGCTGAATAAAAGGAAATACATTATTTTGTTTTCCAAATTCCACTGCCGTGTCTTGCGTTTTTCAAAGCAAAAACACGTTCTGTGTGATTTGTGAATGCCTTTTAGAATGCAACTCATAAGGGTTTTGATTGCCTTGAGCCAAATTGATATGTGCAATGAAGTGTTGCCAAGGGAATTTTTTTAACATTTCTGAAGAGTTCCTCTGATAAAGGTGTAGTGAAGTTATAAAATAAATTCTAGGAGAGAGACTGCATGCATTGGCTTTTCAAAATGCATTTTCTGATTGATTTTTTCATGGTGTTTGCTAAAACAGGCTTCATTACTGTTGTTAGGGTCAGTCATTTAAGTCAAGTCAAATCAAGTCATCTTTATTTATATACCGCTTTATACAATACAAATAGTGTCAAAGCAGCTTCAGTATTGAACAGGAAAATGGTGTGCTGATAATGTTGGAGGACAACATTAAACAGTCAATTTTTCAGTTTAAGTGAGTTCATTGTTGATTCAGTGATGTCATGTTCTCTTCAAATTGTTTCTGTGCAATCAAGCTGACAATATTGCCAGAACTTAAGTGTCCCCAACTAAGCAAGCCAAAGGCGAAAGTGGCAAGGAATCAAAACTCCATCGGTGACAGAAATGGAGAAAAAAAAACTCTCAGTCGGGGGGCCAGTTCTCCTCTGGCCAGACAAAACCAGCATGGTGTGGTTTAATTCCATGCTGCAACACAAGTCAGATTGTGCAGAGGACTTGTCTGGTTCTCATGGTCTTGTACCGATGGCCGTCTAGTTGACGAGGTCTTCGCAGGGGATCTGTCTCTAGGGCTCATCTAGATGACATGGTCTCCACTGACATTTAGGGCTGTAGAGGTTGTCTCTAGGTGCTGATCCACCATCTGGTCTGGATACGGACTGGTTCTGGGTGACTGCAGTGACCATCTGATCTGGATATTGACTGGATCTGGGTGGCTACGGTGACCTCGGAAAAAGAATGAAAGAAACTAATATTAGAAATTAAAGAAACTAATGGCGTAGATGCCATTCTTCTTACGATGTAACAAGTACTGTACATCTGGGGTTATAGGAAGTGTTCCCGGTTCCAGTTGGCCTAGTTTGACCTAGTCTATGCTTCCCATAGACTTACATTGAAGGAGGGGCTGGGTAGGGGTCAGAATAGGGGTCTTTTGACTTGGGCTAGTGCATAACCACCTAGCAACCACACAGAATACCATAACAACTGCAAGGCAACAATTTGGCAAATACATACTAGCTGTATCATCAACTTTTATTCCAATGCATTACTTTTATAATGACATCTAGTAAAACAAAAACAGCAAAAAACAAGTATTTGCAATGGTATAACAAACTATTTTTTTAGTCTGTGTTGTCACGTCTCTGGGTAGCAACATTCTGAACTTGTAAAGAATCAGTTGGCAGATTAATTTGAATGATTTATGCAGAATACAGCAGTGATGTTGAGTGGTGCTAAAATAAAGCAAAAAAAATTTTTTGCAGTGTGTTTGAGAACATTTGTGGGGTTTATTTAGTAGTAGGATATCATTCAGCAGATAATTTTATCTAATGCAACTTGTAGTGCACTTATTAGGGTAGAAGCACACTCTGGGCATGTGCACATACACAGGTGTGAATGAGTGTGAATGTGAATCGTTTTCTCACTGTCATGACGTTTCAAACCCATAAGACCTAATTAATCTTCAAAATACAAATTAAGATATTGTTGAAGATACTTTCTGTCCCTCCGTTGAAAGTCCAGGTGTTGTCAAATGAATCCATATGATCTATATGATCATAATCCATATGATCCAAGTCTTGTGAAGATATATTATTGCTTTATATGATGAACAGGATCAATTTACCCTTTTATTTGCATCCAAACAATGATCAACACATAAATAGAGAACACATTTGAGGTTCTGTGTTTACCATTTGTGATGCCTCTATGTATGTGTGTTTATATATGAATAAAAGCATAAAACAGTTGCTCTGCCATGAGTTTTTAGTTTACCTAAAAGAGAAAAATGAGTGCAGAAGAAAATATCTGCTATAGAGCCCCCGGTGGCAATGCTGAGATTACAACATGTACTTCTGACTCTCTTTTCAGCTGTATAATACAGCTGCTATACAATATAACTTTATGAAATACTGCCATTAGCAAAACCTTTCAAGGCCCTTTGATGTGTGGGCATTACTGTTTACATGCCTGCTAGATGAGGTGCACAAGGATAGCAGATCTAATCAAAAGAAGTGGCTGTTGTAAACACGCTCACAGAAACACATGGTAGCATCTGGCTTCCTGTCTCAGAGCTCTAAACTTCCATGCAGACTTCACACCAAAATCTGCCGACTAATAAACACCTGTCATGCCACACGTGCCATTCAGAGGATGCAAGTGAGATTTTTATCATCAAAACTGGCATTCCAAAAGCAGCCATGAATGCTTTTGAACAGAATAGAATAGATTTATGATGTAAATTAACTGTTTTATTCATATTAATGTTTAATACAGGGGTGCCCAAACTCGGTCCTGGAGGGCCGGTGTCCTGCAGAGTTTAGCTCCAGCTTGCCTAAACACACCTGCCTGGAAGTTTCTAGTATGCCAAGTAAGACCTTGATTAGCTGCTTCAGGTGTGTTTGATTAGGGTTGGAGCTAAACTCTGCAGGACACCGGCCCTCCAGGACTGAGTTTGGGCACCCCTGGTTTAATATGACTAAATTAACATGGCTTCCTGGGTTATACCATCAGAAGTATTTCTTTAAAGGATCAAATCAGATGGTATGTGCTATGACTGTAGAAGAACAGAATATAATAGAAAAATGTTTTGTCATCTACTGTACATTAACAGTTTTATTCATATTAATGTTTATTACTGTATGACTGAAACAACATGACTATATTGGGTTATACCATCAAAAGTCATTTTTAAAAGATCAAATCAGGTCATATGTTTTATGATTGTTCAACTTTTATGACCTTAAATGTACTCTTTACTTAACTTGGCTGTGGTGACTTTACATGCACGGGAAAACTGAACTATAATGTTAGCTTCTCTCTGTTTTGGCCTCAGCTCTGCATTTTTTGTATCCTTCACTATCATTAGAAATGTTGTTATATAATTAACTGTTTCTCAATGTCATGCACCTCATGATGAAAATAACCCGCACTTCATTGTGTTGCAATTACTAAGATCACTGTAGCTTGACAAAAAACATGTTCCCCAATGCAGTGTCATTTTGACGTTTAATTAAAACACAAACTTTCCTTTCCTCTTCCAGGAAACCAAAATCAACTGTGTGCGACTGGCTACCAAAGGTATGAGAATTTTTTCACTTATTTTTAGCTTGTATGAATGAAGCATTTTATTATTAATTACTATTGATTTATTTGTTTATTTATTTGCTTGTTCCTTTGTATATTCAGATAAGACTTGCTTTGCAAAAGTTCTTTGGCTGGGTTGATGTTTGGATAGTTCTGTCTAATTTAAATCCCTGTAACCCAACACACTCAATCACATTCAATGAAATCATGTTTTGGTTGGAATTAAGCAGATGTAATATTAGAAATGTTATTTCCTCTGTATTCTTAATAGACCTTTGATTTTATAGTGGAACCCGTTACTAAACATGATGGTTTAAAAATGGACGAAGCCTTTTAATTTAAGTTGTACAGTCAGACAAACCTCAGTTGCATCAGACTGAGATTAGTGCTCCCGGTTTCATTGAAAAATCTGAAATCCCATTTTATTTTACCTGCATGATTATCTGCCTCTGGCCAACAATTCTGTTCAGTTTCTTTTGCTGCATTTCATTTCCACTTCTCTCCGTAAAAAGACCCTTTTACATAATCACTTCCAGGACCAGAGCAATCACAAGAGACTTTCTATTATTTAATGGACATCACGGATAAAGAGACACTACAGCTGTGCATCTTTTTTTTCTTCCCCATTCTTTCTTTTCCAGTTTTCTTTCATTCCTTTTGGCTTTTTCACCATCTAATTCAATAATAATGCTTCTGCACAAACCTGTTTCTTTGTTTGTTTTGCTGAACTCATTTTATTTTGCTCCATGTCAAGCTTTTTTTTTCTTTTTTCCTTTCATATCCCAGACAGATCCGTCCTGAGTTGGGTTCTTATTATGATTGTAAAAAACCAATTACTTTTGTGTTTCTGCTTTAGAAAGACATTCTTTACACTTTGTGATGCCTTGGATACAGACATTTGAGAGTTTCAACCTTTCCTTGCCTTTTTAACGTTGATGTTTTGAATAGGTTTAGATTGCGGGGTGAATTCACTAAACTGTTGCGTGACTTTTGCGCACAGTATTCAAGCAAAAGCTCACCACCTGAAATCTAGTTTAATAAGAATGGAAAAGTTCTGCACTGCACTTAAATTAAGTAATTGCCATTCATTTGAGAGCAAACACGTCTCCTTCCTATGTGCATTAGACTGATTTAAGGTTGCGCCTTGTTCATGAAACCAAGCGCTATGTGCTGAAATATTAAGTTCAAGGAGTGCACTGTCTGCATTTTAAATAACTGATTAAAGGAGTAGTTCACCAAAAATGAAACTTAACACGCCATCTAAGATGTAGATGAGTTTGTTTGTTTGTTGGAACAGATTTGTAGAAATGTAGCATTACATCACTTGCTCACCAATGGATCCTCTGCACTGAATGAGTCCAAACAGTTGATAAAAACATCACAGTAATCCACAAGTAATTCACACCACTCCAGTCCATCAATTAACGTCTTGTGAAGCCAAAAGATGTATGTTTGTAAGAAAAAAGTCCATCATGAAGATGATTTTAGCATCAAATCGTTGCTTCCTCTGTCCATAATACTGCTTTCATATTTTGGCCAGAAGTGATGGATGCAAACGCCTTAATGATGAATTTGATTTATACAAACACACAGCTTTTCACTTCACAAGATGTTAATTGATGGATATTTCTCCAAATCTGTTTGTATGACAAAACAAACTTGTATATATCATGGATGGTCCAAGGGGGAATACATTTTCAGCAAATTTTTGGGTGAACTGTTCCTTCCAGGTGTTTGGATTGCAGTGGTAGAACTGTATTATATCAGTTAAGTATGTCAAATCCTCCACATCCTTGCACTCAGAACCTGGCGTGCAAGCTGGGGAATTGTTACATGCAATTTTGCAATTTTGAATTCCGATCAAATTTTGTAAGTCTCATTGGCATAGTTACCTAATTTGCATAATCCCTTTATTGAATCGGTTGATAAAACAATGCAAATACAAATAAACAACAGCAGACACAATTCAGTCTTAGTGCATTCCCCCCGTATTTTTATTTTTTTTTTCCATTTTCGTACAATTGGAGACTCAGAATATAACAATTTCTCAAAGCCACATAAGGCAACAAATATTTGCATTCATATGAAAAATATCTATTGAGAACATTTTCTACAACTTCTATGCTTACTCTGACAGTTCCACTAGATGATTCTGGATTAATATTAATTTTCCCATGTGAAATAGCCTACCTGTTGTATCCTACACATTTCAGTTTCCTTTCCAGCCAAATGTTACTCACTCGAAGGAAGCTCAGATGCTTGAGTTGAAAGCATAATTCTTTAGACTATTTTTTCTTTCCTTCTTTTCTCTCATGCATGCCGGCCTGGAACGTAAAACCTTGTGTTAGTGGTAATAGGTAGGGGACAAAATACCACGCCCTACATACTTGTCATTCCCAGTGAAGGTGAATATTATTCCATAGTCAAACTTTTCTTTCTTCTTTCTTCTTTCCACCCTTCCACATTTCTTCTGCTGTTGTTTCCTTCTCTACTTTTTATTTTATTATTAAATTTTTTATTCTGCTTCTCTCCATCAGCATCTTAATGCATTTTTTGCATGTCTGGTTCACTAAAAAGTCTAGCTGGTTCTCATTGACTCCATTGACACTATTGTAATTTGGGACCCTGAGAATGTACAGTGCCGCCCACACGTTTTAAATGATCGTATTATTATTAATATTTCATGTTTAAAAACAACAGATATTCCCTCTCTATGATAGTTTTGCTCATGACCTTGTTATGCTCTGAAAAACTGAATCCATAATGAATATCAATTATCCTCCTTTTAAAGAAAACTGCCTACTTAGAAATTACATAATCTTGCTTTGAATGATCTGTTGTTAATTGGAAAAAAAATTCCTGTACTTCTTATTTATGAAAATTTTATATATAATGGTATACAGTATATAATAAATTAATTATTGATACATTTAATTAAATTTATTTATTTAACTTTAGCTCTATAACCCAGCCCTGCTATTGTTCTGATGTAAATTAATCTATTTTTGTTTTACTCAGAACATTATTTAAATGTTTGGATATGCATAAAGATATTTTACTGTAGAGCTTAATAAGTTTCTGAGCAAAATGAGAGCATAAAGTGATATATGTTGCCTTTCCTACAACACTCCACCCCTTACATGTGCAAGTGACCGCTTCACCTAACATGACCCCAGTCATACACTCTGACCCTGCCAGCCTAACCTGTGTGTGTGTGTGTGTGTGTGTGCACATGTGAGTGTGTTTGCCAGCATGTGTATGTTTGTGTGTATTTACTATTCTAGATATGTATTCCTGTGCACATATGCAATGTGTGTGTTAGGAAGTATTGAGTATATTTATCTGTTATATTTTTTATATTTGTATTGTGTGTTCATATTATTCTTCATTTATTCCTAATATTAATTATGTATATTGAAGGATATTGATGTCAAGCTCTAACATGTGCGCACACACACAGGTGTCAGCTTTTCCATTTCACTCTACAGTCATATACAATGTTAAATTGCCCTGACTGAAATTACAAATTGCTTGCACTAAAATATCTTACATTTCTATAGGGTCTAGCTGGATATCTGTATTGCACAGGAGATAGCCGACTTTTAGTCAGCTAGTGAACCATTACAATGCCTAATCGTCTGAATTAAGCAGATTAAAGCTGTCGTCATTTTACGTTTTAAATACATATTTTGACATGCAAGGATCATAATTATATTTTGAGAGTTGAATTTGAGTGTACAGTGCCCCCAAAAAGTAATTAGACACTTTGAAACTTGAATATGCATGAATGTCATTGCACTAGTTAGTCTATTAAAGCAAGTGGCGTTTATAGTAAAGAAGTTTGTTGGGTTTTAAATGAACTTTTATGCAACTTTCATACCATACTTAACTAAAAATCGCATTAATAAATAACATTATCTAATTGCAGGTGTAACTTGGATTGATATTTTGTGATATTTTCATTCTATGCAATGAAATTCAGATATTTTTAGGTGTGGCTTTTCGAGACACATTTTGAGGCCAGTAATATTCACTTTGAAATAAAAAGCAAAACCTAGTTGTGTTTGCTGCGTTATCCCAGCAGATCCAATAACAAGCAAAAGAAACGCACAAAAGACATCATGCATTATGCATGTACACTTTGAGTTTGAAATCAATTGTCAGTTAACACAAATACCTTTGTTTCTCAATGCTCCCATCTGGAATTTAGCTAAATGCTCTAGACCAACAATGCTTAAATATAAACCCAAATACACTTGTGAATTAGAAACAAAAGGGATTTTAAACTAAATGTATTTACAATCCACCCATTAACCTCTCTGTGTTTGGTGAAGGGGGATGCTTTTTTGAGCCATTAGCATCATGGGTCGCTTACGTGACTGCCTGGTCTCAATCCCAGTCCATTTGAGATTATAATCCTGTTAGATGCATCCAACGACGCATCGTAATCCTGTCGACTGCTGAACAATGGCAATAGAGATGTCAGCAGTGATATGCACCCGCATAAACCTTTGCATAATCCCTCGGCTTACAGACCTGCTTTAAATAAAGTTATACAAAAGTACCATTTCACATGCTAACAGAACCATTCAAAGTATCGCAAAATGCCGGCAATTAATAAGGCAAAACTCACCCACTATAACGCCCTCTGTATATGGTAGAGATTAATTTTTAATATGATGAGCTTTAATAATAATTCCTCTTTGATACTCAATTTTACCCCCTCAAAATAAAAGGATTTGCATACTCGCATATTTTATTGGGCATACAAGCAGGGCTCGTGGGTGAAGGGAAATGTATAGCACTTCTAATCAAGGACTGATATTTTTTTTATATTTTACATAACATTTTATGGTAAACAAAAAATTGCACAGATCTTAAAGGAGCGCTGCTCTATGATTGCTAAGATCCTTATGATTCATATGAGTGTGAGAGTCATTCGAACCAATATTATTGTCAACATTTTACACATACAAGCACTTAGAATCACTTTTTAACCATTTTACTAGGTTGTGGGTGGTATGTATGAAATTAACTGTTGTAAAATCACTATTAAAGCTGTAGTTTGTATTTTTTCTGTATTGTATTGGTCATCTTACACATTGTGGCAATCTGCTGGAAAACATTGTGTTGCCATTTTGTTTGAAGATGCTTTTTTTTGCAGCATTGCAATAGAAGAACCATTTTTGTTCTCCAAAGAACACTTTAGTGAACAGTTCTTAAAAGAGTCATTATTTTCTGAGTGTGAAAAACATTTTTATAATCTAAGGAACCATTTTTAACTATAAAGAACCTTTGTGCATTGGAAAGTTTCCATGGTTGTTAAAGATTCTTCATGGAACCATTGATCTAATTGAAGAACCTTTATTTTTAGGAGTGTTTTGTGGATGTTCTTCATGGGACCATAGAAGCCAAAACAAACAAAATACTTTATTTGTGAGTGTATCAAACAGTCTTTAAGACAAATCACCAAAACCACGTTTTACTGCTTGCTATTGCTGGTCAGATGGGACATTTTCTTTCCAGAGGGCATTTTGTTGGACACAGATATAAACTGATCATTTTTACCAGTAAATTTTAAATGTACATGTTAAAAATTCTTCTGGTACATTTTTAGGTGTATGCTGCCACACATAGCTCAATGAGAAGAGATTTTGTGTTCTGAAGGGTCAGTAAAATGAGTCAATTGGTTGGTCAAGATTAATATTGTTGTATTGTCATGAAGATAGTGCTGGCTGAAAGAATGATATCAGAAAATAGACTGAAAGAACCCCATCATAGTGTATGTCTGCACTTGGGTGTGTGTGTGAATGTGCTTGTGTGTGTGAATCATGAACTGTTGAACCCAATCAGATCAGAGCAGACTGGAGGACATGGAGTTCAGTTACTATGTTGATAAAGTCAAAGGAGAACACATAGTCCATCCGCATAGACCATCCATAGCGCTGCCTTCACCTTCTGACAGCTGTAGATGGAGCTAAAATGTGTTTGGCTGGAAAACACTCCAAAGACTAGCAAGGTTAGCAGAGATTGGCTCAGTGTTATTTTCAAAGGTCAAAAGAAACTAAAGTTGTGAATGTTGTTAAAGTTCAGTCTCAGATGTCTTTTAGGGGTTTGCTTATGTCATAGATTGCAAACCCATTGGAAATGGGTTTGCATATGTTTTTGGAATCGCTGTCATGTTCATACTTTAACACCTTGATAAGCAAAACTGCATAAAATATTAACACTTCTCTTTCTCAGTTACATGACCAAGTATGGTTACCCATACTCAGAATTAGTGCTCTGCATTTATCCCATTCAAAGTGCACACACACACAGCACACATTTTTTGCTGCTGCACCCGGGGAGCAGTTGGGGGTTCGGTGCATTGCTCAAGGGCACCTCAGTCGTGGTATTGAAGGAGGGAGAGAGCGCTGTACATTCACTCCCCCCACCTACAATCCCAGCCGGTTCAAGACTCGAACCTGCAACCTTTGGGTTATGAGTCCAACTCTCTAACCATTAGGCCACGACTTCCCCAGCCATATAGTACAGATATTACTGTATCTTGAATTAGTTTTTACTCCATTGATAAAAAAAACTACTACTTTCTTGTGTGTGTGTGTGTGTATATATTTACACACATTTTTAGAACTGAAAAACAAGACAAAAATACAGCTTTTTTTGCTGTGAAGTTTAGTTCTTTAACATACAGTTCCAGAAATGTATATACGTTTATTGTTGAATGTTTAATCTGCTCATGCTTAAAAGAAATGTGCGGTTTGAGGGAAATACTAAATAAAATTATTGAGCTTACATGAAAGCAAACCACCCCCATAGAGAGATCAATGTGTTAATATGCAAGTGATTGTTACAGATGTCACACTGGCAGGTTAAAAAATGATCTTAAAGGCAAAGTGGAGGTAAATATAACAACATAATTGTTCATAACGTAACATAATCATTCAACACAGGGATTACATGCTTTCCTAAGCTTTGTGTATCTGTAGGTATATTATGCAACCATTTATTTATATCTATATGTTTTTTGATGTCTATGCAACCTTTCTTCTTCATATTATTAAGATTGATGTACTGTACATTATAAAATGGTGGAATATGATTGTTAATATAATAGTTCAGGCTTTGAGAATAAAATGCAAAGATGATTCTGATCTTTTCAACAGTGAAATACAGCAACAGCAAACAGCTGATGTCTTTCATAGCAATAATAGCAATTTCACAGTAGAATTACATGCCTGATGAAAGTAGATGAGCCGTTTGGTGTGAAGCCACGCTAATCTGAACAGTATTTTCTAAAAGTCATGCATGGTTGTACAGATTTTATAAGGATATTACAATAACAATATATTGTCAACAAAACATCCTGCAAGATGCCATGCATGCGAGTATGCAACACGCATATATACACAAAGACACACATACATCTGTATGAATCTCAACCCTCGTTCTTGTTTCTTGTATCCATATTTCATGCCTGCATTTCTTGCGTTGAATCGTCTTTTGTTTTGCATTCTCTAACCCAGAATCCAAAGGCCCTAAAGTGTTTCATATTTCACCACAGTGATCCAGTATTTAAAAAAGCTCCTTAAGGTCTTTTTTTTTGTCTTTTGCCTGTTAATTAATTCCATTCAATAAACGATTCCCTTTTGCCATAAACCCGCCACACAGTAACGATCAGTGTCACTTGTGCATTTGTTTTGTCTGAATTTAAATGCATTTAATTAATTTGATTTTGAATGCGTGTGTCTTTTGTTTTCTGTCTTTGGACTGGTTGTACTTACTATATGAAAGTGTGTGAACGTGAGATGTGCTTGTACGTACTTCCTGTTTGTGTTTTCATTTGATTCTGGTGATTGTTTGTTTTGTGTGTGTGTCGTTGTAGAGCGTTTCTCGACAGCTCTTGTCTTAGTTAAAGGCCCTTTCTCTTCTTTGTGATGTACTTGTTGCTTTAAAGGTGCATCTACCCAGAATTCCAATGACATAGAGCCTGAAAAACAGGTGGACGGCACTGTAAAGATGGCAGGCGTCATTGCGGGAATCCTCATGTTTGTCATCATTCTCCTGGGCGTTCTCCTCACCTTCAAACGCAGGTACTGCTTACACAAGCACACACACTTTTAGCTTAATTTTACAATGAATAATATGCTTTATGTATATGCAGTTGCTCATATTTGAATGTACAGTAGCTGAGGTGCTTTTCTTTTCAGAGGAATTTGAGGGTGTTAGTTAGCATTGCTTTTGACATAATCAGCTTTTGTGTCTCCTGGTGAAACATGCACACTGGCTTTCTTTCATTACATCACTTCCTCTCACCAACTTTACCACCCACCCCCCAACACACCCCCTCATGTCATTGTGCCTCACAAGAGCCCACCTCTTCCCGTAGTGTCTCTGCCGTCCCTGCCGCACACCGACACTCACACACCCTGCTCTCGTGCCTCATAGGTCTTTCCTCTAGTGTCTGTCTGTGGAACAGTTTATTTAGTGTAGGCATGAATTACGGGGGTGTTTGTCTGACCTGCTATTTAAGGTTCGAGCCCTTTAAATTGAGTCTAGACTAGAGTTTGTGGTAGATGGGATGAGGTTGAAAAGATCCTATCAGTGACAGAACGGTATATCAGCCATAATTTCTGTACTTGTGTAAGTGGTAGTTCCCTTATGTCAGTTACAAAATGTATCTGCAGTCTAAATATATAGATAGGCTATTACTAGGGATGTAACGATTAACCGCGAGCCGGTTGAAAATCGATTTAAATATGTGACGATTCAAATCGGTTGAGATGCTAAACAAAAATCGCGATTCAATTAGGGGTAGGAGTTTATATGAATGTATGTCTGAGGGGAACTTACTGTCTTTCGATGGTATTTTTTATTTTCCTCTTGCCTCTGTATAATGCATATTAAAGTTCATAAGTGCAGCGCTGCTTTGTTTACAGCGGAAACCAAGGAAATGCTTTAAGCGCCACCTGCTGGCAGAGAGTGAATCTGCATCTCATTCAGCTCGTCTGCTGTTTCGGTTTCATGCAGATACTTTTTATGCATAGTTTCACAAAACTGAAGTCAAACCATTCTGTTTTTGCTTCAAATTTCGAAATTATACAATGTAATTTAGATTAAAAACTGCTCATGTTGCATGTATGCAGCATTTTTGTTTGGATCATGATTAAAATGCGGGGGTTGCCTCTTAATTGTAAATGGAAAGAGCACAGACAAAGCCTTAGTTTGTTTATATGAAGATATTTATTTTATTTGTGTTACTTATTTATTTGATTTGGGGCTTGTTTTAAAATTTCAATATAGTTTTGTCATTTACATTTACATTATATTTAAAATTTTTTATTTAGCAGATGCTTTTATCCAAAGCGACTAACAAATGAGGACAATAGAAGCAATCAAAACCAACAAAAGAGCAATAATTTACAAGTGCTAAATTAGTATATTAGTATAGTGTTATATTTAAATTTCACAAAGAAACGTACAGTATTTTGTCCAAGCAATAATAAAAGGACACATTTAATTTATCATTTGTCTTAAATCTCATTTTGTAAAAAAAAAAAAAAATCATGAATTGAATCGAATCGTGAAACGAAAATCGTGAATCGAATCGAAACGTGAGTTGAGTGAATCGTTACATCCCTAGCTATTTCATAAGCTCTTTCTCTTTTTCTTTGTTAAAAAATATTTTAGTGAATTTTTACTAAATGTATGAAATAAGATAATTTAATATCAGAATTTTGATGTATGCTTGATTTTGAATTATTAAATTATTTATAATATATTGTCATTTTATTGGATATTTAAACATTTTAAAAAATGTAGTGTTTATGCATGTCTCATTTTTCATTATTAAATTTAATTATTTATATTATATTGCCATTATATTAGCCTTATAGATATTTTATGATAAATTCTTTCAGTTTTTTTTAAATAATTGACCATTTTCAGCAAATAATTTATGAAATAGGGTTATGCATGTTATATGCATGTCTCATTTTGCATTATTAAACTGAATAAATTATAATATATGGCATTATATTGGCCTTATAGGTATTTAATAATGAACTGTTTCCGTTTTTAAAACATTTACAGATTTTTTTTTATGAAATATTGTGTGAAATGTGGGTTAAATGCTCTTTTTACATTATTAAATTGAATTATTTATAATATATTATTATTATGGGCATTATATGGGCCATTGGCCATACTAAATACAGTATGCTACATTCATATCATATATTAGTTTGAGAATGTAAGCAAGTTTTGTTTTTTGTTTTTCTTACCAAGTACAACTGCTTTCTGCTGTATGCAGTGGTGCTTCACAAACATTGGAACTATGTGTCTGATATTAATTAACGTGATTTTATTTATCACAGAAAACCTGGAGGTAAACAGAATTTTATTCTAAAATGTGTATGTAGATTTTCTAGTGGTCATGACAACAGTAATTCATCAAATGATGGAGAAGAGCATTATAGCTAGGCACATATCCAGACACGTGCTGTAGTTAAGCATACTTTCTGCAATTCAAAGAGCCAATGTAAGTGTATATACTGATGTTGTAAGTCCTAGTAGAGTATGACAGAATGGGAGAGTCGGCTGTATCCTCCAAAACCAAACACTCAGAAACGGCCTACAAGATGAGAAACTGTCATTGCACAATTACCTAATTTGCATAATTCAACTAAGTGCTAAAATCAAATACACCATCAGGGGATGCAATCATTGTCTGTGTGTGTGTGTGTGTGTGTGTGTGTGTGTGTTTTGTATGCAATCTCTGCATTAAACCACGACCGGAGAAAGTATTTTAACATCCAAAAAAACATGGATTACTACTTTGAGAACTGATGAAAATTTCTTGAAAATCATTTACTAATTTGCACATTGTGTAACATTAGAAGGACAATAGTGAATAACTATAGATCACACTCGAACCCCACTGTGACAAGCTATTCCTGTTTTTCATGGCATAGTTAAAGTTTGCACTCATGCTGCTTTCCTCAAATAGAAGATGAAGTTGACCACGTCTAAATGCATATTAACCTAAAGCTAGGAGTTTCTCATTTGTTTTTTAACCCGTTTGATTGTTCACAAGGGCATAGGTGATAACCGGGACCTTAGAGTGAGCGGCACATTGCCTATAAAAGCCACAGTCAGAAATACAATAGTGGTTAAAACCACCAGCTAAATCAATAAGCTCTAATTACCATGGATTGTAAAGGAGAGCCTGACAGCACCATTGTTAATGCGTCACTCTCTGGAGCAGCGTGAACTGAAACTTAATGATAGATCTCGCTATTAAACGAGCGGGAATCAAAAGGTTAGCCGTGAATGGCCTTGGTAGGTGCTCATCTTCCACAGTCGATGGAGGAAAGGCACTTCTGCTATTCATAAGGCAGAAACTTGGGGCTTGAATATTACAATAATAGCTTGTGCTTTTTTGTCATTTTTCTGATGTGTAGGAGTCATAGCGGCGGAAGTTATATGCAAATTTAAAGAGTTCCTCAAGTCTGGATTCACACAAATAGCTCAGACTGTGGTTGGTTTGAAAACCTACTGAGCTGCTTCGCTGTCTGCTATCTATATAGGCAGCTACCTTTTAAGATAGTCATTTAGAGTTCATGTTTATGTGTTGCTGAGTTAGCAAGTCCAAACTAAGAAACACAAAAATACATATTGCATGCACATACACTCTTAAAAATAAAGATGCTTCAAAAGGTTCTTCAAGCGATGCCATAGAAGAACCATTTTTGGTTCCACAAAGAACATGTGTGTGTGTGTGTGTGTGTGTGTGTGTGTTACTTAACCTCTAGACTCATACCCTGTCTTTTATTTCTCCTCCTCTGGGCTACGTCTGCTAGAGAAATCCACACCTGGAGAACTCTAAGTGTGGGGTATTGTATGTTTAATTCTAGCCACAGCACGCATCCTGAGCCCATTCACACACCATTTACTTTTATTTGATACAATTTGTGTCATGTTATACACGTTTATTTATTTATTTTTTTATAGTTGGTTTTTGTCATTCACATTTTGGCACATGCACGGAAACTATCATCTTGATTTGTTTGTATTAGTGATTAAATAAAGCTGTGTTCCCAAACCTGATGAGCTGCCTTGCTGCCTACTGCCTACTTAGCCACCTGCTGTCTTAAAGAATGGACTTATTTGGAGGGCTGTACATATGCAGAAACTATAAATAAATAAATAAATAAAAACTTGTATATTTACTCATAGCTCACAGAATGTGAGACATAACTTATTTTAGGAGAATGTACCATGCAATACTCTAATAAGCCTAAAAATAGCACAATATTGAGTCAAATTTAAGCTTATTAATATATTTTTATTGCATTGTCAAGTTTAGGATTGCATTGAATGTATCATGATTTTCAATGTCATGATCGCAGTGAAAGAAATAAATCCAAAATGATGATAAAATCGACTATGCAAAAAAAAATCTTGATTATTATTAGCATATAAATACATAAAATAAATATATATGAAAAATATATGAATATGAAGGTATACTTCGTGATAATGGAAGTGTGCTAATGTATGCTGAATTTAATTGAAAGTGGATGTATTGCAGTATACAGTACATTCAATGCAATCCCAAAATACATCATGAGCTCAGTAAAAATAAATAAATGAAATTTCCAATGCAAGATGAATAATAGTGAATATTAAAAATCATTTTTTCGTGACGTTAATGTGTGTGTATGTGCGTGTGTGAGTGTGTGTTACTTAACCTCTAGACTCATACCCTGTCTTTTATTTCTCCTCCTCTGGGCTACGTCTGCTAGAGAAATCCACACCTGGAGAACTCTAAGTGTGGGGTATTGTATGTTTAATTCTAGCCACAGCACGCATCCTGAGCCCATTCACACACCATTTACTTTTATTTGATACAATTTGTGTCATGTTATACACGTTTATTTATTTATTTTTTTATAGTTGGTTTTTGTCATTCACATTTTGGCACATGCACGGAAACTATCATCTTGATTTGTTTGTATTAGTGATTAAATAAAGCTGTGTTCCCAAACCTGATGAGCTGCCTTGCTGCCTACTGCCTACTTAGCCACCTGCTGTCTTAAAGAATGGACTTATTTGGAGGGCTGTACATATGCAGAAACTATAAATAAATAAATAAATAAAAACTTGTATATTTACTCATAGCTCACAGAATGTGAGACATAACTTATTTTAGGAGAATGTACCATGCAATACTCTAATAAGCCTAAAAATAGCACAATATTGAGTCAAATTTAAGCTTATTAATATATTTTTATTGCATTGTCAAGTTTAGGATTGCATTGAATGTATCATGATTTTCAATGTCATGATCGCAGTGAAAGAAATAAATCCAAAATGATGATAAAATCGACTATGCAAAAAAAAATCTTGATTATTATTAGCATATAAATACATAAAATAAATATATATGAAAAATATATGAATATGAAGGTATACTTCGTGATAATGGAAGTGTGCTAATGTATGCTGAATTTAATTGAAAGTGGTTGTATTGCAGTATACAGTACATTCAATGCAATCCCAAAATACATCATGAGCTCAGTAAAAATAAATAAATGAAATTTCCAATGCAAGATGAATAATAGTGAATATTAAAAATCATTGTATTTCAGTATACATTCAAAGCAATCCCTAAATGCATAATGAAAATTTAATCAGACTGGAATAGACGACAGAAGAAAATTTTTGAAGAGAAGGATACATCAAGGATTGGTCAAAAGCAAGGAATCTTACATGGCAGCATCTGTTGAGCGTCTATGATGCCTTAAAATGCTGTCTCTGTTGGCAGTTTACTAGGTTTTGGAACAGAGCAATAGTGGTTATTGGTGTTAATTGTGAAAGTATTACGCTTTTGCTCGCTATCAATGTGGCCTGTGTTTAATGTGCTTTTTTCTGCATTCTCACTCTTATTTTTTAATTGCTTGTTGTTGTGCATTGTCACTGTTAAATGTTAGAGAAATCTGCAGTGATTTGTGCCGGGAAATTTAAGGGCGGTTCAAATGTCACTACATTACCATATTAAAATAAGTTTAATTTCCGCAGCGAATCCCGTTGCCTGTTAGATCACCTTCTCATAAATAGCATTAGCATATGTCCCATGTTGCAACAATTACAGTAAAAAGGGCACTTCATTCGCTCAGAGAGTGGCTTCAAATGACACTTTATACTGCAATCTGGGCTAGCTGGTAATTATTCCTCTTTAATAATGTCACAACCCTGCCTCATGTGCCACACTACGCCGTTAAGCTAATATGTTATGTTCATGAAGGCAAAGGGTGATTACACCCACGCCAAGACACCTACACAACCAACTGTATAGAGGATTTAGCTTAAAGCTCCGAGGTTGCCAGGTCTTTTCTGTAATCTTACCAAATCCACACAACTGCAGCATTACTGAGAACACATTATAATGTCAGTGCTTAAGGTCGTTTGGCTTTAATTACAGAGGGCATCAGTAACAGGTAAACGATTTATGGTTTATGGTACGTTTTCGCATCGGAATTGCATAGGCTGTAAAGTAGCTCTTCGGATTATGGAACCAGAAACCGATGCGTTGTAGGTTTTCTTTTCAGCCTGTTAAATAGAATGTTGTAGCACCATAAATCGATATTAAAAAAGGTCTCTTTGAAATCCTTTAACATAACAGCACTGAAATATTCATAGCAAAATTCCATAAGCTGAAATGCATCAGCCCCTTTTAATAGCAATTTGTATTTCAAGGTACTGATGTGGAAGCACTGACTTGTTGGAAATTCTTATTCATCTTTAAAGGGGTCATAAACTTTATTATTTTATTTCATAAAATAAAAATGTTTATCATGTAGCCCCTGTTTTTCATTTTCCTGAAAAACAATGATAATGTGGGAAATTTACTAAAAGATTTAAATGTCCAGTTTTTTGGCTTTCAGGAACATCATCTTTACAGACTCTTTGTGACAGATCCATAAAACGGTCCATGCTGAAATGATCTGCCGCTGTTCCACATGAACGGTTAAAATACCTTGTTAAAAATAAACCTTCCTCACATTGGGATCGTTCATTTGCATAGAATCCTGAAAGATGGAGGTAGATTTGACTTTTCATGACATGAACTCTTAAAATACCTTCAATCAGATATCCTGGTTTTGGATCCATTTTGCTTTTTTAACATGAAGCCAGAAGTGCATACGTGAATTTATCTGATTCCAGATCAGAGCTCCAATGCTAAGAGATCTTATGAGGTGTAGGTATATTATGTGAAATATAGTGGCTTATGATTGGCCCTGCTGATAATAGTCGGATGTGATGATTCAGTGTGTAATCATATGCATAGGCAGCACAGCTATTACACAAAGTGTTGGTCTATTTCTCCCTCAGTCAGCATTACGATAGAGCGATGAGGGAGTCGATCTTGAACAGAGTTTCGTTCGGACACTACTCAGTCCCAGACCATTAAACACACATACGCACACACACCGAAAGAGTGCAGTATGGCCCTGCACTCAACACACGGCAGTGAAGCTCTTGGTTTCGATCGATGACAGACCTAGACTTAAAGCAATTTGACATAAATAATAGATGCTTGCTATAGGAGGGCAATGTTATAGAATAACACATCGAGAGAGAGAGAGAGACAGAAAGAGATAATTTAGTAAAATGGTTCATAAGAAAGTATCATAGTTTTTTTCTATATAGTACAATCAGATATGTGTTCAATCATTTTATTATTTGAAGTATCTTAGAGTGCCATGCAAATACAGACATAAATTGTTACTATATTCAGGTACATATTACGGCAGTAATTTTATTTTGGACATTTACAAAGGGTTAAATCATGTTTTTGCACATGTACCATTCTATTATATTCTTGGAGTGCCATGTAAATATGTGAGCATCAAGTACTGTAGTGTATAGCAGTGTTGGGAAGGTTACTTTGGAAATGTAATAGGTTACAGATTACAAAATAATAGGTTACCCTATTTAAAATGTAATAGTAGTGTCACTTTTTTAATTACTTTATTAAAGTAACTGATTACTTTTGATTACTTTTCTAAATTTCTAATGAATGTTTATTTGTAACTGTTAATCATTTTCAAACATTTACACCATGCAGGGTTAACCTTACAGTAGTGCTCAACCCGGTCAGACTTTCAAAATCCTTCATCACTTGAATTAAGATGATCAAATTTGAACACATCCACCACAAAATCAGACTTTAGTACCGCCTTTTACTTTGAGATTGATCTGAAGTACAATGCAGATTTAAAATCATAAGAAATAGTTAAGATAAGACATAGTTAATAGATAAGAAATCTTTGCATAACTACAGGAAACACTGCATCTAACAAAAAGAATCATAAATAAAAGCATATACATCAACTCATATACGGTTATCTAATAAGCATGTGTCCTATTCTGTGTACTAAACTCCTGAAACATTGGTGTCTCTTTGTATATGATATGATGATAATTTTCTCAAAATAAGTAAAATGCTCATGAAGTGACTAGAGCAGTTCTAGAGATTATGTTTTTGTGTTCATGTACTCATATATTGAGACGGCAGAGGCTGGAAACACCGCGAGCTTCAGTAGGCCTATATGTAGTAAATGAAACTGCATGTCTGCGCCATTAATTTCCACGAGGGGCGGAATGGGAAAAAAAATTCAGGCCGGGAAATCTCACACTCATACACCCACAACAAATTCTGAAACATGGACAACCCTATTTTTTTGTATGGACCTCACATAAAAAAGGTTTAAATCCTTATGTTTGACATGCAAAATAATTAAAAGTTCTCTCCTGAACTGCACCTTCACTTCCATTTTTCTTTTCAGTCTCTTTATTTTGCCCTGATATCTATCTCTCTCATGACTTTAATAATCAAGATTTAACAAAACTATACTTTCTAAATTGCCTACATGTCAAAATGAGTACATCACTACAATATCTTTATAGAAAAATCCTAATACTGAACATGAGTCATGTTTTTCCCTTACAAAAATACAATGCTTTTATTATAGTAAAAGTACAGTAACCATGTTTTGTTTTTTTTGGTAAATGGATTACCATTTGTATTTATTTTTACTACAAATGCCATTTAGTGCCAGTGTAGCAAAAAACATGGTTAATTTGTGTTTGCCATGGTTTAACAATAGTAACCATTGTCTTTGGATTTATAGTAAAATCGTCGTTAATTTTCATAAGGGTTGTGTTGTTGTATGCCCCTGCTCCCCCTAAACCTATTATAAAATATGATTATTTGTCTGCTAAATGACTACTGTAACATTACAATAGATAATAATGATGTCCTTTATACAGTATTTTGAGTGATGACTGATGAGCAATGGGCTGCTGCTGCTTAACTATAAGTAAACAAAGACAAAACTACAACAGCATATTTACAGATGAAACTGACTTGCACTTGAAACCCTGAACAGTAGTTTTGCTTCTCTGCTCCACCTGTGCGCTTTCACAATCCACTCCATTCTCTCTCTCACATTGATTACTTTGATCCAAACCGTTTGGCGCAGGCGCGGAGAGCGAGCGAGCCGAAGCATTGCCATGACTAACCTATTCATGATTTATTAGAGATTTAATTATCGAATGGCGAATTCGGAAATAATCGCTTTAGTACATTCGGCAGGCAATTATACAATAATAATATTAAAATAGCGGGGCAAATCGGCTGCCAGGCCACCGGGAATTGTCCCGGTTCTCCCGATGGCCAGTCCGCGCCTGATTCCAACAGACATGCAGAACGTGCAGGATTCATATATTGTCTTTTTGCGGCTTAATATTCACAGACACTAGTCCATATCACGTTTTGATTCAAGTGTACTGACCTACTTTTGATTTATTCATCTAAAATGTGGCATATTCCATCCGCGTTAGGCTATAGGAATTCAGTTTTTATGACTGGATTCTACGAACCAGTCTGTGTTTTCCTCAATTAAATCTGAATGTGGATGTGTGTAAATATTCAAATGTAATCCCCTTTGTAATCGTTAACATTTTCATAAGTAACTGTAATTTACTTACACATTTTTTTCTTAGTAACTGTAACTGATTACAGTTACATTTATTTTGTAATTAAATTACGTAACGCCGTTACATGTAACTAGTTATTCCCCAACACTGGTATATAGCAAAGTACCATGGTGTTGCCATGTGATAGCATTACTTTAATGGTAGTACCAGTTTGTATGTGTACTTTTCTCATTTTGTCTCTCATAGTTGAGGTATACCTATGATGAAAATTACAGGCCTCTCTCATCTTTTTAAGTGGGAGAACTTGCACAATTGGTGGCTGACTAAATACTTTTTTGCCCCACTGTATGTGTATGTGTGAATAGCTTATTCTGACATCCTCAGAAATAAAAATAATTAACGATAGTGTATATACAGTATATCAATTTCAAACATTTTAGTTCCTCAAAAGAAATAATTTTTCTCAGGCTCCTATGTTTAGGTTCAGTAATGTTACTTTAATGGCAGTGTATAGGTCCTTTTTATGCCATTAAAGTGAAATAAATGAGCATAAATATAGGAGCTTGATAAAAATGCTAAATTTAGATGAAAATTTCAGATGGCACTTAGAGGCTTTTGCATCTGAACTCTTCATATATAAATGTTAGATTTTACACACACACACACGCACACACACACACACACATGCATATATTCCATATACACACATATACATATATTTACTTGCATGAAATAATCATTTTTAGTTCCTCAGAAGAAATATAGAAATGTGTCTGTGTATATTTATATAAAAATTATTTTGAGATAAATTTTGGGTTAGTCATAATTAGTTTTATATAAATGCAGCAGAAATCATTGGCATGTCCTGATTTATATTGGTGGGTGTGAATGTGTGAGTCTATCCATGTGTGCACACTTCTACATGCTTGTCAGCCGATTGTGCGTATGCTTTCAAGCCTGAATGGATGAATGATAAATTTTATAATCTAATAAACCACGCTGTCTCATTTACAGTCATTAGCGGAAATAAAGTTGTATGAAGTCTTTGGCACTTTGTTAAACAAACCAACCTTTTGTCAAGTTCTGAACCCTTTCTCTTACCCCGTCTTTCTCCCATGTAAAGTGGCAGTACAGGCATGTAACATCACTGTGGGTATCACACTTTCTCCTCACACCAGAAGTGCGTCTCGTTTCAGGAATGATGATAAATCACGGGAGAGCCCAAAAAATAATAAAGAGGCCACTTATGCTGCGAGCTCCTCGCAGTTCTACTCTATTAATATTTATGGCCACCTTCGCCCGCCGTGGTGCTCTTCACTTCGCTCTCTTTTATTAATATCATCAGAACAATGTCAGCAGGCCATTTTAAAGGGCCATTGAGATGAAATGGCCAAAGATGGATGCCCCCACTGCATATGCATGCCGCCGAACGCATCGACCGTCTGCATCTGTTTTAGCACCGTCAGCCCATTGCAAAACACATTTTCCATAACAGCCCATATCCAAACTGTGTTTTTATTGCCTACAGAGAAGTCACAGGGTCATTAAATATATTTACTTTGGTGCTGCTTTAGCGATAAAGCGAGCAGTTAGGGTGCTATAGGTTGCTTTTATGATACACAAAGCGAGAATTTAGTGTTTTTGTGACTTAATGCAGCTCTGTGTGCCAAAGAGTAACTCTGACAGGCTAATGCATGGTTATTCGGCTTTGTATTATTGTAACGGTTTGTGCAAAGTGGCAGGTTTTGAAGATTATTTGTAGTGCGAAAAACATGTTAATAACTCTGGCTAGTATATGGTTTCTTTAGCAGGTTCATTCATGATGGAAAAATTTGATAACTCGGGCTGAACCATGATTACTTTGGCGTTTTTTTAATTTTTCTATTTATTTTTGTAATGGTTTGCGCAATTTTTTTTAAGTATATTTGATGGATATTTAAAAAAAAATTATATTAATATATACAGTATATCTATATATATATATATTTTTTTTTTTTATTAATAAAAAGTTTATATTAATTTCCAACTTATTTAATTTATATTTATTTATTGATATTATTCATTTATATGATCATAAAGGTTTGACTAAAATGGCAAAATTTGAAATTTTTTTGTCAATTATTAGCATGAAAATCATGCTAATAACTAATACATTGTTACTTTAGTAGGTTCATTTCCATGTAAAGATTTACACAAAGTGGCAAGTTTGAAGTTCATTTGTAAATTGTAAAAAAACAAAGAACGCACCTTGTGGAAGATATGTTTCAGAAGAGCGATGAAAAGCAGTGAGCGCAGTCAGGAAGCAGACGGCCACAAAGTCACTAATTGACAACTTTGCTTGCATGTCATCACCAATATTACAGTTAATCGAATCGCCATTAACAGACACCATCTGGTCTTTATTATGGTATCAGGCTGCTATCGCTGTCCTAGCTTGCTGTATGTCACCTCCTCTCGTCTTTACCTGGAAGGAACCGGTCCACAGAGACGTCAGCGCTGAGACACTGATGACAAGGCCTCATTTTGGAGTAGCACATGCATGATGTGTTCGCCAACTGCTTTTGGTGTCTCTTGTCCTCCTACTTTCTCTTTCTGTCTCTGATAAGCTCATAACAGAGAACAGAGCTACAACATGTCTGTGAAACACCCACCATTCCTGTCCATCTCTTTAGCTGTCCAAACACACACTCCCACCAGTACAGGTATATAGACTATTCCTTCTTTTTGTTCTCCTTCACACATTTTTTTTTTCACTTGAAGGGGAGCCAGATGTGCTGTTTCATACATTTCATTTATTGTTTAATTATCTTTTTTTTTTACAGACTTACTATTCCTAACTATTACTGATGCAAGGCCACTTGCTAACCTAAATTTACAGCCTCAGGTAGCAGAAATCCAAAGCATAGCTATATGAAGCTGCATTGCATTTTCTTGTCTAAATAAAACGTTATGTGGTCAGCATGTAACAGTGGCAAGTTTTACTATTTTTATCATTAAACATCTCTTTGTTTACAATACTGATCACTAATCAATGTGTTTGTCCTTTTTTGGTTCCTTTTTTATTTTGTTTTAATTTATTTTATTGTATTTTTTTTATTATAAAATAAAATTTTATTATTTTCATATTTTTATATTTCTATATTTTAATGATTATATTTTAATTTGCATTTTAAAATTTTTTAATATCCTTTACATTTTACATTTTATTTCATTTTTATGTTCATATTTGTTATTTTATTATATTAAATGGTCAAATATTTGAAATTTTTTGTTGTTGTTTTTTTTTTTTTGTTGGATCACTAATCAATGTGTTTGTCCTTTTTTGGTTCCTTTTTTATTTTGTTTTAATTTATTTTATTGTATTTTTTTTATTATAAAATAAAATTTTATTATTTTCATATTTTTATATTTCTATATTTTAATGATTATATTTTAATTTGCATTTTTAAATTTTTTTATATCGTTTACATTTTACATTTTATTTCATTTTTATGTTCATATTTGTTATTTTATTATATTAAATGGTCAAATATTTGAAATTTGTTGTTGTTGTTTTTTTTTTTTTTTTGTTGTTCTTATCTTGCTGCTCCAGAAGAAATGCATATTCCTACTCTTATTACCTGTAAGTAGCATTAAATACAGAACATAACCAACAATCCTTGTTTAAGTTTATCATTTCCTAATACCATTTTCTACTAAGTACTTTTAACAATTCCTGAGAAATATTATAAAACCTCCTTTGTTCATTAGAAGAAAAAAGTGAGAGAATGAATTAAATGAAAGTTAATGTTAAGTGACAATTAATCTTAGTACCAAATCTAACTTTGCCATGGCGAACAAAGCTTTTTGAAATGAAGACAAGTTCAATTTGAAATAAACTCTTGAGTCAGTATTATACTTCATCACACTTTGCTCCAATGCTTTAACATCACAGTACTTCCATTTTCTAGCAAAACAGTCGATACTGACCCATAAACCATCTTGTGCGCTATATACCTACAAGTTTTTCCGATTGCTTTGAAACATTAGCAGGCCCAGTTATAAATTGCCCTCATGTGCACATAAATTGATGTTGCTCCACTGTTATCTTATTATTATAGACTATTGCTAGTTCAGCTCAAATCCCTTTGGTCTGCGGACTCCCCCTCGACTTTTTATTACTTTTTCCGTTACGCTTAAACTATTCACTATTACCTCTACGGTTATGTCTGCCTCAGCATTTTACTGCACGGGATTCTTTCATTTGCACTGTGTGCAACAGAGGATAGCTGCAGGATGTTTACCTCACGCGTTAAAGGATTTAAAAGCTCAGGTTCACAGTCGGACTACTATGTGCATTCTCACCACTCTCTCCCCGCTCCTGAAATATAGATGAAAGTAGAAACACAACCAGGAGGAGCCCCTTCAAAAGGATATCATCTGAGAGGGCATAGACAGACAGCTACAGGCTAAAGCTAACCATGACGAGAGAGCGAGTCATTCTCATATTCAGCTGGGTTATGTTATGGACATGACTGAGTGTGGTTTTCAGCATGCATGTTCAGATTTAGTAAAGCGATCAGTGTGCATCTTCACTTTTGTCCTTGCACTTACAAACTGAAACAGCAAGATAGGAAAGATATTTTGACTTCCAATAAATCATATAATGATAAAATAATGATTAAAAACTTCCAGTTTGTAAATGTGTGCAAATTAACACTCGCCAAGTGCCAAATGTGAGTAAAAATCAGCGTTGGCAAGTGTATGAAACAGTGTTACTCGCCAGTTGGCCAGTAAGTTTTTTTTATTAATTCTAACCATGCCTGAGAACATGATATGGTTTAGTTTGATTATCAAATCGCAAAGACTGTACTGTAATTATATAAATTTATAATCTAATGTGCCGCATTGTGAACTTTTCACTGTGTTTTCAGGGTCGCAGAGCGGCTCGGTTCGCAGTACATGCTGCTCCACACAAACACAATCTCTGTAAGTGCTGTGAGTTTCAGTCGCTTATAACGTGCATTTGAAAATGCAACAGGACCCAAACATCTTCCCAAATTCATAATGAGTATCATTTATATATCTGTTGTCAATTAAAGGGATGCATTTCAAAAAATACATTTCCCTGCAGTTTTCTGCCAAACTAAAAGCTCTATGGTTTAACTGTTGAAAGCAAAGAAAAAAACATAAATACATAAATATTAAAAAGAATAATAATAATAATGAATGCACACAGAGTTTCATGGCTGGACAAAAAAATATTTATGGTCACAAAATTTTCTCAAGTCATCAGCCCTTGGCAGGTGTGGCAAAATGTTAGTTCCCCTTCGGGAACTCGAGCTGCGTCGGAAACGCTAGGGGAACGCCTTCAGCAATACCAAGCTCTGAATCATATGTGTAATCAGTCGAATCGATGGGCAGAACGTCAGAGGCGGGTGACGTCATAACCAGGAAGCTTTAAAAGCACGTGAGGTGCTAGCTTTCTGTCATTCAGCGAAGCTCTCTGTGTGTGTCGGTCACGATTTATGTTCTGTGAGTCTTATTTATTGTTGTCTGTCCAAAAGTTGCACAAGCATTCAAAATATAAGCTCCAGCAGAAAGAAAAGAAAAAGATGTCTAAACTAAAGACAAAAAAGGGCGAAAGCAGATCGCGTTACAGACTGTGTGTTCCTCCCTGCCCACGCTACATCACGAGTGGGGATACACACAGTTTGTGCGTGGTCTGCATGGGAGCGGAGCATGCGGCGTCGGCTCTCGAGAGGGCCGACTGTCCGCATTGTGAGCAGTTGCCACTGCGTTTGCTTCGCTCCCGGAAGGTTCTCTTTGAGGAGGGAGCCTTCACCAGCGTTCCTCACGGTGCTGGCCCCGCTTCCGCCGAGGCGGAGTGGCAGCTGCACTCGTGGGGTTCGCAGCTGGATCTGGTGGAGGGAATGGAGACGGGCGGGTCCCTATCTTCTTCCTTACCTGCCAGATCCACTGCCCGCTCGCTGGGATCGGAAGCCCGTTCTGCGGCTACTTCCCCCCGGAGATCGGGCTCGGCGCTTCTCCTATCTTCCTCCGAGGAGGTTGATGTGGAGAGCGTCGAAGATTCGCCCCCTCAATCCCCGCAATATGAGGAGCTAATGGAGGTAGTTACTCGTGCAGTTGCCAAGCTGAATATTGAGTGGCCAAGTCTCCCTCCGCGCCGGAGCCTGCCGTTTTTTCCCGATCTCCACACCGAGGTGTTGAGGTTGTGGAAGAAACCATTCTCGGCCCGCTTATTTGTCCCCGCTTCTGATTACTATGGAAATGTGGCGGGGTTGAGTGAATGCGGTTACAGAGCGATGCCCCGGGGTAGAGCAGACGCTTGCGAGCTATCTGTCACCCGGCGCGGCGTCGTCTC